TTCAATTTGTAAACAAAACAGATTCTTTTTATTACCATTTTTCTAGCTAATTTTATGAACCAGTATATGCCATTTATATTTAACTTTGTATCTTTCAACACATGATTAAAAGGGAGGATCTTTTGTTTTTGTTATTTTTGTTTTTGAGAGGTTTTTTGCTATAGGCCGCATGTGTGCGCCAGAAAGACAGAGAGAGACAGAGAGATAGAAAGCGAGAAATCACCCCCCAGGGGGGATGGCCACACTGCAATCTCTTCTCCTCCATTCTCTCAGGATGCCGGTGTGAGTTTAAGCCACCGGGTCCAGGACTTGAACTGTGGTTGACTACATGGGAGTCAGTGACATAGCCATTACGTTAACTGCTGGTCCCAAAAAGGAGGATCTTATAGATATATCAGAACAATAAAGCAGAAATGCTATTTTTTTTTAAAAAAAGACATTTAATTCTGCCTGAAAACCACTACTCACATGGCTTTGGAATATCTATCTTTCTTATGGCAGTCTGGTCCAAGTGCAGGTTTTTTTTTTAGTTTCTTTTTTTTTTTAATCTTGAGAAAAAAAATAGAACTTTTCATAATCTATATATTTTATTTTTTAACATTTTTAAGAGGTTTTTGTCTTAGGGCATGCGCACTCACTGGAGAGAGAGAAACAGTGAGAGAGAAAGTGAGAAGTCACCCCCCCCAGGGAAGATGACCACACCACAATCCCTTCTCCTCCATTGTCCTCCCAGAATCTTGGGAATGTGCATACATGTGCCTGGTGTGATTTTGAAGTCACTGGGTCCGAGACCCAAACAATGGTTGGCCATGTGGGTGTCCAGCAACGTAACTGCTATGTCATCTGCCTATTTTCTTGTTTTTACATTTGATAACTATACATCTTTACCAGAATACAACATGGGATTTCCCAGCATGGATACACTATATATTAATCATTCCAGTCAAAGATATAGTTTCATTGTTTATATATTCCTAGTCATTTTTACAACTTTAGCTGTATTCGATCTACCAAGCAAAGTATTCGTACTTGGCAAGTATTTCCCTTTGTTTCTGCTGTGCTTGATAGTCGCTAAAGTAAACAACAGAACTCCACGTAGAGGTGTTACAAATGACAACACTGGGACCCCCCAGGTGGCATGGTGGTTGAGGGCTGGATTCCCACAAGGCCAACCATGGTTGAGTTCTGGACCTAGAGGCTTGCTCTCCTACTTTCCCTTTCTCTCTCTGGTCAAATTTAACAAATAACAATGATAGTAAATGAAATAAAATAGTTCTTTTTTTAAAAAAAAAGACAATACCTTGAATTGTATTGAATTGTAATTTAAAGATTAGCAACCAGTCCACAGTGGACAACATGGTAACCTGTATTATCTGCTTCCCTCAGTTTCTAGGAGGCACACACGTGATGAACATAGAATTGCCTTGTCTACACAGCACACAATCATCTCCAGGGCTTATGCCCACACGATCAGGACCAGGGAACAGTGCAGAGTGGATGGGAGTGGACCTCTCTGTGGATCTGAGGCCACAGTTGCCACAGTTGCCTGAGTTTAAGTGTTTAAGTGTCCTAAACATCCTCTGGACAAGAATGTGCCATCACAGCACATCGGCTGCTCTGTCTATCCTGCCTCTGCACTGTGACCCGCAGACGCACTTTCTTTCTGGGCAGATCCTGCAGTGGTTTCCACACGAGTCACTGGACTAGCTAAGGCAGTCTGGGCTTTTCTTCTGTCTGATCTTTGTGCCAACAACCTACGATCTTTTCTCTTTATTTCTTAATCCTTGCTAAAATCTGACTTGCTCCACATTCCTAAAACACAGTAAAAGCCACATATTCTTGAGCAGACTTTTTTTTTTTGAAGGATTCTACAATTTTTGAGGCTCCAGCTTAAAATAAACAGGATAGAGAGTTCACCATTTTCTCTCCCCATCAATTTCAGAAGCCATGAGGCTCTCCACTGCCTTAGGAAATAAAAGAAAGTTTGCCATTCCAAGTCCTCCTCCACCCTGTTTCTATCTGCCTGGTCTGTCCCTCTCTCCTGCCCTTGGTGTAGTCCTCAGATACAATTCCATGCCACCTTCCATCAATCAAAGAATGTGAGCGTGTTGTCCACGTATGTTCTCAAATTAGACAGGGTTTGAGACATTTAAGTCACCATCCCCAGTCTCTAACAAATGAAGTCTCTGATTGGTGACCGCCACATGCATTCAGACTGGCTGGCCCTTGTCCAAGCTGAGTGCTCTCAGTAATCACTTCTCTGCTTATTTAACAGTGCAGTCTCTGGACCTGGATTTCATTTTATCTTCTATTATTTAAAATGCCTAGGATACAGTGTATACATGTTCATTGTTTTAAACAATAGTTACATTTAACAGGGCACCCAACTCAATTAAATATTCAACCCAACTACATTTATAAATCAGTAAACAGGACGTTAATAGGCATAGTAGCAGACTGAAATGTCAGCTTCCGTTTTTTTCTGCTCAAATTGCCCATGATAGGTAGCATACAAAAATATAAGAAAGGCAAGAAGTCTCTAAGTCAAAACCCAACTCAGAGATATTTCAAACCCAGTTCACTGATAGAAACCAAAACCTTGATAGATCTTCAACTTACATGAAGAGCTTTTGCCAAAGGAGGCAAAGAAAATTAACTTTCGTTAGTGACTGCCAATCTTTTGAAGCTATATAAACCCCCTACCACTCCTTGTACTTGGAACAATTTTGCTTATTTTTATCTGGCTTTACTGAATTTATTGTACAGCTAGTTTTGTGCCAAGTTTATAGACATAGATATAGATATTTGATTTTTCTCAGAATGGGCAGTTTATTTGGTTTATTTCTGTCCTACAAACAATGTACGAAAAAAGTCATTTAATAAGAGGCATATTAGATGGCTTAATAAATGAATTAACAAAGAAGTTTGAAAGGACATTTTAATGAGGGGAACTTTAATATACATACAGATCACTGAGGATCTTGTTAAAACACTGTTTCTGACTCAACAGGTCTGAGATGGGACCTGGGATTCTGCATTTCCCACCAGCTCTCAGCAGATGTTGCTGCTGTCCACACGAACACAAAGCCATGATTTATAGCCCACCTCCTTACCCTTTAGACCTCTCTGTTAAGAAATTAAGTGCATTTTGGGGCCAAAAGATGACAGAGCAGTTATGTCACTGGACTCCTACATGGCCAATTATGGATTGAATCCCAGACCCAGTGGCTTGAAAATCACACCTGGAACGGGTGAATGCGTGCCCAAAACCCCCAAGAGGAGAATGGAGAAGAAGGGACGGTGGTGTGGCCATCCTCCCTGGAAGGTGATTTCTCACTTTCCCTTTCACTGTCTCCCCAGAGTGCATGTGCCCTAAGGTGAAAACGTCTTAGAAAATGAAAAGAAATTAAGTGCATATTTTTCCTTTCACTGTCTCCCCAGAATGCATGTGCCCTAAGGTGAAAACCTCTTACAAAATAAAAAGAAATTAAGTGCATAAAACTTTTAAAAGAATTATTTTATTTAACTTTATTTATTATTATTATTTTCTAGTTTGATCAGAGAGAGACAGAGGGAAAAGAGAAGGAAAGTGAGAAAGCAAGCCACCACCAGATCCAGGAGTTGAACTGTAGTCGGCCATGTGGGAGTCCAGCACCTTTAACCACCACGCCACCTGCCATCCCCAAAGCGCATATAATTTCACCTGAGGCTTTCCTCAGTTTCTATATCACATTCTTTAGCTTCAGATATAAAACTAACAGGCAATAAGAGATGAGACCAAAAAGTAGTGAAAATAAGATATTCCTGTAGACACAGAACACCTTTTAAAATAATCTGAATGCTTGCTAGATATTACAAAACGGTCCTTCAGAGTGACAACATTACATGCAAAAGGCAATAGGCAATGGGACTACAGAGGTCAAGCATCTCTAATCTGAAAATTAGAAATTTAAAATACTTCAAACCAAAACCTTTTGGATACCCATATGAGGCCATAAGTGGAAAACTCCCCACTTGATCTCATGTGACAGGTTGCGGTCAAAACACAGCAAAAAGACAACAGTGTATATAACATGGCCTTCAGTTTGTATAGGTGTATACAAAGCATAAGTGAATCTTCTGTTTAGACTTGAGGCCTGTCCCCAAGATATATCATTATGGATACATACTTCTTCCCAAATCCAAAATACTTCTGGTACCAAGCATTTTGGATGAGGGATACTGAACTTGTATTAGCCTCTCCTGGAAAGGATTATTTAAACTCCACTGAACTCCTTTAAAGCAAACCCCTCATTTGGCATACATGCCCCGTATTCCACACTTGGCCCATACCTCGACACTCTGTCCGGGTGAGTGTGCTCTGGTAGCCAGCTCGACACTGGCAGGTATAGGAACCTTGGTTATTAATACACTCTCCTCCAGCACAAGGGTTTTTCTCACATTCATCGACATCTGCAAAACACAACATATTTTAGGGAAAAATTAGGCAGCAGTAACTCCTAATTCTAAGACTTTATTTTCTTTTATACATATAGAACATTTTCCTTTTAATAAATAAATACCACAAAGAAAGGACCTTTTTTGTCTCTACTACAATACACTGTATCACTAGCCATCCGAAGACTGGTTGAGCAGTTAAAGTGTATTATTTTCATGTGTCATTTTTTCAGAGAAAAATTTCAAACATGTAGCAACTCAACACTCCAAGCCAATAAACATTTTCTACTTAAGTCTGGCCTAAAAAATTCAAACACTAACTTTTCAGAAGTGGTTTTTGGATTCTGAGTATGTCTTGAAGCTCTGTATTTTCAATAAAAAGAAGGCCTAGCCATATCTAAGCATCTCCTGCTAAGTTCTACTAAGAATGTTAGAACAAAACATGAAGCAACTGTCATGTGAAGGGTTGCTCTTACCCACCATAGAGTCCGGCCCCATTCCCAGATATCTTCAATACACAGGCAAGCAGTTTTACAGTCACTTAGGATTATCAGTAGACTCAGAGTAAACTGATTTATAACCCCCTATTTGTAAAGATGAGGAAGCTAAGGCTTAGCAAAGATAATCCACTTGTCCACACACTTCGTAGCAGCTAAGAAGGTCTGATCTTGCACTGACCAGGCCTAAGCTAGACATTCTCTCCTCTGCCCAGCTCTGGGTGACCTCTAGATGGGCTGTTCTTATCCTCAGGAGACGAAAGAGCTTGGGAAAACAAGAACTACTCATTTCTGCCTCATTCATAATTACAGAATGGGAACTTATTTTTATTCAATGCAACAAATTATTATTTTGTGTTACATTTCCTCCCTTCAGGAGCTTAAGTGCCTTGTCAGCAATTTTAAGTTTTTCTCCTCAATTTTTTAATGACTAACTAGAGCATTGCTAAATTATCCATTTAAGTGAATAAAATGGGTAAAATTTCTTAATTGGGGAGACTTTTAAAGCTTGCTTTTGATGGTCAGGTTTTTGGAAAGATGATTTAAGTTGGAGTTATCAGCAATGACTTGAAAATAGTTCACGATGAAGGTTAAAAGGAATTGTGGTGGGCATAATAAAGCCCTCCGCAAATATGTTCATGTCTAACCCCCAGAACCTGCAGTTATTTCACATGCAATGGGGAACTTAAGTTGCAGATGAACTTAAGGTTGCTATTCACTGATTTTTTAAAAAGAATTGTTGTATTTAACTTTAGTTAGTTAGTTAGTTAGTTTGACCAGAGAGGGACAAAGTGAGAGCAAGAGAGAGAGGTGAGAAAGTAAGCCGCCAGGTCCATCCGGAACTCGAACCAACATCGGCCATGTGGGAGTCCAGCACGCTTAACCTCCATGCCACCTCCCGGCCCTGTTGCTATTCACGGATCTTGAGATGGGAAGATTTTCCTGGATTACACAGGTTCCCCAATCACAAACATTCTTAAATGTGGAAGAAGGACTTGGAAGAGAGATTCAGAGAGTTCAGGGAGAGACTGTAAGATGCTTTACTGCTTGCTTTGAAGACAGAGGAAGGGGCCATGAGCCTAGAATTCAGGTACTCGGGCAAATAATGGGTTCTCCTTAGAGCCTCCAAAAAGGACACACCCTGCCGCTCCTTGGATTCTGGCCCATTAAGAACTGGGCTGGACTTCCAACCTATATAACTGAAAGATTATAAATGTGTATTGTTTTAAGCCACTAAATTTGAAGTCATTTGTTATAGCCATAATAGAAAGCCAGCATTGTCAAGGAATAGCCTCTTGATGCCAACCTAACACTCACTCACGTACCGATACACTCCCCACGGAGGTCCAGCTGGAATCCCTTATTGCACTCGCACCGGTAGCTCCCAGGGGTTGGGATGCAGCGACCGTTTTGACAGAGATAGCGGACTAACTGGCAGTAATCTGTCACGTTGACTGGTAGCACCCCTGGAAGAGTAACATTGAAACACATTAAAATGATTTGTAACTATAGCACCTTTCAGCAGCACTTAATCGGACAGTCACGGACAAGGTGCTGAGTCATAAAGGCGGGACGACGCTCCCTGGGCA